AATACAAAATTTAACCGTTATCATTGATAAATGAGTTCAAAAAATTATTAATTTAAATGTATAGAAAAATTAGTGACAAAGAACTTAAAAACTTTAATTTTGTCTCAAACAAAAAAATAAAAAATAAAAAATTATACTTTAAAAATTATTAAATTATTTTTAAGTAATGACACACTGGTCCGACCACCGGCTCACCGGTCCAACCAGTAACCCAGTGACCCGGTACCTTGACCAGGTCGATATCCGAGTCGGATCTGATAACTATGCCTAAAATACTTCCCAAGTTTAGCTCTGATACCAAGAATTGATGTAGAATTAGTCAGAAAGAAGAAGAAGGAGGAGGAGGAGGAGGAGGAGAGGAGAAACTGGGGAAGAGGAGAGAGATGTGATCACAACCCACGAAAATATTTTCATTCATCAAAAACTAAACTTTCAATCCCAATTACAATAATATAAATAACAAAATAATAAACTTGGACTTGGGCAAAACACATATACAAGTCCAATGAGACATAAAGTCTAATATAAATAAATAGAAAATAAAATGGCCCAACAACTGACCCGATGAGCAGGATGATGTCCTGGCCCGATAAGTAGGATGATGTTCGCATCAAAATGCATTTGAAGTCATATGTTGGGAACGGTAGTTAAAATATATTCTTATTTGTTGTATTACATTTTAATTGCACTTAAAATCGTCATTTTTTTTTTTAATTATAGTACTTATATCATCAACTTTTTTTTCCGCACTTTTATCATTGACATTTTGTTATATGTTGTCCCTGATGATGATTCATTGGTTCCCATCTGAAAATTTTCATCTGGGAGGTGTAAAATGATGTATTTACTTGTCAAATTTAAAAGTAATAATAAATACAAAATACAGAAAATATATTGTCAGAAATTATCATTAAGTACGAGATATGTTAATTAATTAACGGATTCAGAAAGGAATTCGATGAAAAAAAGTTAGAGACATAAGTCCTATAATGAGCAAATGTTAAGAACTTTTAGTTTAATTAAAATATGGTGCAAATACGATGTAAAAATAATTATCTTATGTAGGGTTGACAAAGACTTATGACAAATAAAATTGACAAATAATACTTTTGACAAATAAAATTGATAAATAATCTTGACCGATCATAGAAACTAATCTAACCATTTAAATAGATCTCAATAACACCTTTTAAACCCTACACTGGTCCTGATCTGGTGGAGATTAAATGTTTGTTTGGTAGAAATTTTGATAATTGATTTTTTTACCGTTAGAGATAAAATGAGTTCTACTTGTAAGAGGAAAATTCAAAAATGACAGCCGAAATAGTGAAATAACAGTCAAAAAATTGATTTTAATTGGCTTAAAATCTGTATCAAACAAGCTCTAAAATTAGATTATTTAGTAGATTATAATAGAAATTTTTGAAATGTGTGGTTGAAATGATGTGGAACCCATGAAAGATGCAGTTAATATTAATTATTTAACTTTGACTTAGATTAAAATCAGATTTTAATCCAAACCAAACAAACGCTATTAATCCCTAAATTTTCTACGCCCACTCTCCCTCAATGGTGCATCCCTCGATTTTATCCTCCCCGGCTTCCCTCTCCTCAAACAGAGCTGTTTATTTGTGATATGATTGTTGTTTTGAGAATAATAAATAAATTAAGATGCTGATAAAATTGTAGCAAGTTCTTTGATCTTCTAATGGATAATAAGCAGCTATTATTTGCATTAATGGCCTAGGAAAAATAGTATTGTTGCTCTTATGCACTCAATGTACTGCATAAGCCGCTATAAAACAGGTTTAAAGAACCAAATTTCATTTCTGTGCTGCTACATAATTTGACTACTTCAAATAATCTTAAAATTTTGTAAAGAAATAGCCATTTCTCTGCATGCAAATTCTACTGCCTTTCTTAATCGCCTCTCTATATTTTCTAAATCTTTATAAAGTAATAGAAATCGAAATTTTCCCGTGGTAGAACTAGTTTGTGGATATCTAGAGATAAATATTTTTGTGAAAACTTCAAACAGTGGTGTTGTCTAAGAGTAATTAATAAATAGTTATTGGTATTTATTTATTCTTTATAACACCAAATTAATTACTCTATGCTAGTGTTTATCTATTCTTGATGATACCAAATTAAGTGCATGGTCGTTTTCATTCGTTATCATTGTTGTCTAATAGTAATAATTATTGGTATTTATCTATTAATATTCCTGATAATATCAAATTAATTGCGTCGTTGTCATGGTTGTTTAAGAGTAATAATTGTAAGTATTTATCTATTCTTGATAATACCAAATTAAAATACAAAAAGTTTGATAACGTTTTTGATACAAAAAGGTTTAGCAAATTTTAATGAAAGAAACATTTTACATATCTTGGCAATCTCGACAATTCCAATAATTAAAATACAAGTAATTGACAACATTTTTATGATGACATAGAATTAGATATCGAAAAAGTACCAGGTTTTATTCAATATATATATAGACACACTGGGGAACCTAAATGGCCCCCACAGAAGATCACAAAGTTGACATATTCCATTTCCACCACGTACAGGAGAAGATGTCAAGGGTCCTATTCATACAGGAACAAATGAATGGTCATTATGGTCTGCTGTATCATGATTTAGATTTTAGTACATGAAATTATGATCAAGCTGATATCGAAATCAGTTTTCAATCTCATGCTGATGGCGATAGAAAACCACTTGATGGTTGGGGGGGGGGGGGGGGGGGGGGCCGGG